CCCACAATGTGTCACATGATTAGCTGAGAAATTACAGAAATACTGATAAATTGAGATGCATTTCATTTAAGCATTAAATATATAAGACTGCACTTAAAAACAAAATTTTCTGCTGTACACAAAATTCCTAAATTAAAGTAACCACATCTGTATTTTAACAGATTTCTGCTATAAACATATCTTCTGTGTTTTGCTGTTGATAATTCTCCCGTAAGTCACTTTAAAATGCTGTCACTCTGATATTTTTGCTCCATTGATGGAGGGTTCAGCACTTAGACAGTAATTAATGATGGAAAAAGAGACATTTCCATATTTTTTCTGAAGGTAGATCAATGTGCTGTTATCTTCTTTCCTTAAGATATGATCCCCCTCTTCAGTTTCTGTTCCAGATTTAATCCGCCTGATAACTGATGGAGGAAAGCTGGTACAGAAGTGCTAAGAATTCTGACACGACAAAACCTGATTTTATTCTATTTAAAGTGACTGATTTGAAAACAAAAATATATATACATTTGGTATTGGTATTTGATTTTATAAAATTTACTCACATGTCACATGAACAATGACTTCTTCTGTCAGGGTGTCATTCTGGTATATTGCTGTACAAATGTAGAGTCCAGCGTCTTCTGATGTTACATCAATGATGAGCAAAGAAGAATTATGAGGACTCTCAGTCAGGAATGTTTCAGTGCTGTTATAAGACTTGTTTAAAATGTTGTTCTGCAGGTTGCAATCTGTTCCAACTTTATTCCACTTTATAACTGAGGGAGGGAAGCTGTCAACACTGCAGGCCAGATTCAGATCATCTCCTTCCTTTACTGTGGTTTTGCCAAAGATCTGAGGTTTTCTAAAGTCTGTGGAGAAAATATGTGGAATTAAACAAAACAAGGTGCAAAACTGTGCTTCAGACATTTGGTGCTGAACACTAACATGAACAACTCTTCAGAAATAACAAAGCCGTAAGCTTAAGAGGTGAATATCCATTTAGAATATTAACTTTCAAAACCAAATCAAAATATATTTGATTTTAATACATGTAATAACATTTAACATGAACAACAACTTCTTTTGTCAGGTTGTTGTTCTGGTTTGTTGCTGTACAAATGTAACGTCTAGCTTCTTCTGTTGTTACATTAATGATGGAAAAATAGACATTTCCACTTTCTTCCTGCAGGTAGATCAATGTTTTGTTATCTGCTTTCCTTAAAATATGATCCTGCAGATCAGTTTCTGTTCCAGATTTAGTCCACCTGATAACTGATGGAGGGAAGCTGTCCACACTGCAGGCCAGATTCAGATCATCTCCCTCCATCACTGTTGTTCTACCGTATATCTGAGGTTTTCTGATATCTGTGGAGTAAAAGTAGAGCTGAGGTTTAAACAGCTGAATGAACTAAGGACTTTTAGTAGGTTTTTAAAGTTAGTTAAAGAAATGTTCCTTTTTCTGATTATTCATCTGTGTTCTCAATATTTACTGATGGCTGAAACATTTGATAAAGATGAATTGTAATTAATCTATTGTTGAAATAATAGTCACCTAATGTAGTCATCGCCTAATCTTAGACCAAACAAATATCACTTGATTTGTCTATACATTTGTTAAGGAAAAATCTATTTTTGTCACTTAATGTGCTTCTTCCTCCTTAAATAACGTTTCACTTTGTTCAAGTTCTATCTCGTCAAACCATAGTTTGTAAAGCATCTTTTGCAATCTAATTATTAACCATTCATAATGTACAGATTATTTGCCAAATATTTGTACCTTGGAGCCCTATATGAACCTATATCTCTGTATAAATTATAATTACTTCACAACCTAACTTAATCCAAATGATCAGCCTTTTCTTTCTTCAAATATTACACAGATTGAGCTAAAAGTGTCTTCAATAATAGTTATAGATCATGAGGTACTTACAGTTTACATTCAGTGTTGCCGTCTTTCTGGTTTCATTTCCTCTCAAACTGACCCGACAGGTTATATTGGTGTTGTGGTGATTTTCAGCTGATGGTTCAAAGGTCAGAGTTGAGCTGTGACTCTGTGTGACAGCAGTCAGATTCTCCGTTTTTGTAGCAGTGATGTTTCCCTGGATGTGAGAGTCCTTCTCTCCTTTTCTTCTCCACATCCAGGTGATTTTAGGAGGAGACCCAGAGCAGAAACCAGGAGCAGTGCAGCTCAGAGTGACCTGCTGTCCCTCAATCAGAGGAGGAATCTTTACTTCTGGCTTTTGATTAAGATCTGATGGAAACACAGTTTATTGGTTATTTCCCCAAAAAATGTTTCTTATTAACTTAAATTTGACAAGAAAGATTCAATAATACTAGATATTTTATTTATATGTAAATAGAAAACGATTGTGAACTTTCTACAATTTATTGTAGAAATCTATTTATAAAAAATATATATTTATCAAATATCAAATCTTATGCCCTGCAACTTTGATTCCTGTATAGCACTTTGATCTACCCCAGTTATTTTAAATGTACTTTATAAAAAAGAATTTGAGTTGAGTTGAGTAGAGTTCAATAAAATTATTAACAATGTTTATCATCAGGTCTAAAAATAGGATTATATACATTTTTAACCTGTAATGTTTCCTACCTTTTACAGAGAGATTGGTGTATGCCTCTTTAAAAGTAAATTTATCTTTATCTCCGTCTCCTTCAACTCTGAGCTGATAATATCCAGAATCAGACTTGCTAAGATCATTGATTTTGATGCTGCAGTTCTTGTGAGTCACATCAGGCTCCAGCAGTGATACTCGACCTTTGAACCCAGACTGAATATCTGTATTGCTCTTGTTAGAGTGAAAGACAAGGTCAGAATTTGAACATGGGTTTGGGGGGTTTTCGCATTTAAACCAAATAATAACTTTTGGCTCAAATTCAGATTTGAAAGAACATGGTATCACAGCACAGTGTCCAGCCTCTGCTGTTATGGTTGTAGAGAGAGTAACACAGTAACCAAGTTGTTGACACTGTTCTTCCTGTCCTAATGCACCTGTTGATAAACAAGAAAATACAAAGTTAGTAATCATTGGTTTTGGTTTTTATTGGTGACTACAATTACATTATCTGCTTTCAGAAAGCTCTTTGTCAGTCAATGTCAACACAAAAGGTGAAGTATTAAAGATTCATCATTAAACTATAGCTGGGTTGTTCTTTTTTGTATGTCTGCACATCAAACAGCAGCTGTATTTATTAGCTAACAAGGCTAACAAGCAGATTTATTGCATATTACATAAATACTGTTTGGATCACTATATGTTTGCAGAGGAGATTCATGCATTACCGTTGTTAGTAGAGAGAGACACAATTATCCAGATGAAAACCAACATCCTGATTTGATGCTGGAAACATTCAGTCCCAACAGGATGAAACTCTGGTGAAGAATTTATTGAGAATTACTGAACCTGGATCAAAGCAAAGTTTAGACAATAAATCACACCTACGATACAGCATTTCTATCCCTAATGTGGCTTCCTGAACATAGAACCACAGTTCATGAAAATTATAGACAAGTTTTTTTTTTCTAACTATCTGTGACTTTATATCTTTTTAGTTTGGAAAAATAAATGTGATTGTAAATAGTTGACATCTGCAATAGATATAAGAATTAAATGGTGCACATTTCTATAATATTCTAGGATTGAAATCTTGATTTTCAAAGACTTAACAATAAAACCCTAAAGTTCCATTTATCTTCTAACCCTCCAGGGTATGTTTTACAGTTGATCAGTCTTATTAGAGCTAAAACTATTATTAAATATCTTGATTACCGTTTGTCTGTTGCCCTTCTGTTCCTCTAATCGTCTGTGTCTTTTCCTCATAGACGACCAAACTGACTTCTTCTCCTTTCTATTTTATTTCTTCTTTTCTGCTCGTTAAGAAATTGGGAAGTTTGTCAGCACTTATAAAAAAAAGGGCTTGACCAATGAGAGAAGCTAAATTTATGATGTATAGATCTAACAGATATGGATAGAAAGTATATGTTGATTGTTAAAGTTTTCATCTTCTATAAGTTCTAAATTTATTTTGCTTCACCTGTGAGACTGAGGAGATATGAACCTTTAAAAATGGAAGGATTTTTTTATGCATGTTTATATTACTACGTTTGTTGCTTTACTGTCTTTTTATTTAGTTTCTTATTTAAGGAAAATAATTCCATAAATCATTTTAGTTCATCACTGTTAATGATGCATTTTCCTTTTGATACCTGATTTTCTTAGATTCATAAGATGAACCTCTGAACAGATCAAGTTTCTAACTGAAGCATTTTAATCAGAGCATTAACAGCCACCTGGAAACATTGCAATATTTCTTCTATCACAGAATCACAGAGTGCTGAGTCCCTCACTACCTTCTGTTTTGAAACATGTTTGTTCAGCAGCAACTATGAAGGTATGTAAGCTGAAGGTCTGCTGATGGCACCACAGTAGTAGGTCTCATTACCAACAGCTGCTGATAAAAACAATCTACCATGGTTCTGTGGTGCTGAGGGCAGGAACAATGCTGCCCCCTTTAGGAGAAAGTCTGTAACAAAGTTTAGAGTCTGGCATGTTTTCCTCTGATGAGAAGATATATTATTTTGTCCTTAAATAATTCTGTTGATCAATGCTTTTTCCATCTGATCCAATTCTTCAATAAATTTAACAAGTCCTATTTTGTAGGGCTCTGCCCTCTGGTTAAGTTTATTTGTAGTTTTTTCTGTCAGTGTTTAGTTCTTGAGTAATTGTAAATTCCCTGACTTTAAAATTTCTTAAAGACACAGAAAGAAAAAAGGTGAACACCTTAAATTGTGATGTTTAGGGATATTTCTCCACATACCGTATGTTCCAAATACACATACAGCTAATGTGTTGTGATGTTGTTGGTGCATTTCTCAAGCGTGTCCTGAATATGTCAGATATTCATTTTCACATATGAGTTTTAACTGAGAAATGCAATTGTAAATACCTGGAGAGAACCAACACACATACCTGCACATAGATAACATATAAGACAGGGTCCTAACATGAATCTGCACATCTGGGCTTTCAGCTTCAAGAGAATAATGCTAACAACTACACCACCATGTAGGAGTGTGTAAAACACAGACTGTGTAAACGTGCTAAATAGTTAAGCTTATATCATGCAACCTAAAATAATTTAACATATTATTTCACTTTCACTTTGATGGTTTTTTTCATTTAATATCCATTAAAAATACAGAATAAAAAAATGTTTGTTTTGTTTTTTATTCTAAATTGTATTTCTTTTTTCAGTAAAGTCTCCACCTAAGTCTAAAATGTTTGGACTGATGCAGATTCCAGATGTGAGAGATGAAACCCAAAGTAAAAAAAAATCCCTTGTTGTGCTCAGAAACCTGGACAATGAAGTTTGTTCTGATATTCATGCTCTAGCATCAATGTCAACAATACAACTGAAAGATGTGTGTTTCTACATTAGTTCAAAGATGTTATCAAATAATTTTCACCAACTCTTCAAGAAAAGTAATACTTGCATACATTTTTTTAAATTATCATTTGTTCTTTGACAAATTATTTTCTAATGAGCATAAAAACGTTGGATAAATGAGCAAACATAGTTTGAAACTCCATTAAGACTGAAATATAAACTTATAAAGAATAAAAAATATTTTAAAGCAGATATTTTTTGGCAAAGCTGCAAACATGAAAATAGATGCCTCAACATTCAACATAAAAGTACTTTAAGGTATAGTGGATGATCTTTCAGCTTTGAGTCCCAGGGGTAGCATCATAAGCAATGATTGTCCCACATGCCGATCTTTGTAATGTCCTCTTTTCTTCCTGCACAGGTGCATGTCTAGGGTTTATATAACATGTAAGCTTCATTCATTCATTGTGGATCAACTACTGTTTTCAAACACTAAAATGTCTCACATTCTCAGGGAGAAAAAGAATCTTACCAATTTATAAGTTGAGAAGAAAGGCTTAGAACAGTGTATGTCCTTGCTCCCTTATTCAAGGTTCGCCATAAATCATTAGAACTAGCTGGTAAACTTTGCAAAGATTTTACACCAGATGCCCTTCCTGACACACCCAGGGGTCCATATGGGGTTGAATCCCCACATTTCAGTCTGAGACTTTAACCACATCACCGTGGAAACGGTCGATATAGCCAGAAAATGACTTAGGAGTTTCTTATTTACATTACTGTAAAATCTGTCCACTATACCTTTGATAAATAGTGAAAATAAACTAAATAATAAACTTCAGTAACCAAAACCAACAGATGAAAGAAGCTAAGAAACATCAAATAACTAAATAAATCGACACAGCATTCACATACATGCTCTCTTCTTTTCTTTTGCATCCCTTAACAGTATATTTAATAAAAGTCCAGTTTTTAGCAGGTTAGATGCAAGTTCCAATGATTTCTGTAGACATGTCAGCGTGGTCGTTGGACAATGGTGTCATACTCTGCTGATGTATCAGATTTCTGTAGAGACATGTAAGTTGGGTCACCTTCAGTTGGTTTCATCTTTTTTCTTGCATTCCTAAATAGAAAAATATTGTTAAAACAAACAGCCTGTACGACTGGACCAGAAAACATCATATTTAGCTGCTGTAACTCACCAAAGGAGCCAAATGTAGATCATACAGAGAACATTTACACTAAGCGAAACACCAGCAACGACCCAGGGAAGAGCTGCATGGCCAGACTCACAATGTGTCACATGATTAGCTGAGAAATTACAGAAATACTGATAAATTGAGATGCATTTCATTTAAGCATTAAAAGTATAAGACTGCACTTAAAAACACACATTTTTCTGCAGTACACAAAATTCCTAAATTAAAGTAACCACATCTGGATGTTAACAGATTTCTGCTCTAAACATATCTTATGTGTTTTGCTGTTGATAATTGTCCCGTTAGTCACTTTAAAATGCTGTCACTCTGATATTATGCTCCACAAATGTAGGGTTCAGCACTGTTGGGTTTAAATCCAGATAAATGTGAGTTTAAGAATTTAAGAGGACGAAATGATCAAACACAGACAGGGATTTGCAACGTCAGCCTCTGCACAGGGGAGAAGAACTTCTGGCTCACAACCAGCACCTTTTCTCACTGTTCCCTTCACAGCAGAGCCTTTTACTAACAGCTGCTGGTGCTGGCGCCGGGGGTTTTTGGGCCCTACTGCTGGGTGGGTGTGGGGGTCTGGGATCCCTGGGGCCCCGGTGGGGTTTCGGGGGTTCGGGTTCTGTGGGGAGTACAGCTTGGGGTCTGGGCCGGTGTACGCCCGGCTGTCTGCCCCTGCTGCCGCGGCCTCTGGTGTGCCGGGGTGCCTCAGGGCCTGTTGGGCTGGGGGGGGCATGGACATTAACACCTATGGCAGATGCTTACCCCTTCGGGGGTTTGCACTCTGTAAGTGGGGGAAGGGGAGGGAGGGGGAGTAGGAATGATCTCGGCCTGGATGTCTTTTGTCGCTTGTGTGGTGAGTATCTTGAATGTTTTTGTAGGGGAGGGGGGGTGTGTGATAGAGGGAAGAAGATCTCGGAAGGGCTTCGGGTCTGGCTCCCTGTCTCGGTCCTGGTCCGTGCTGTCCCCTGGTGGGGCTTCGTCCGGGGTGAGGGCTCTGCGTGTTGCGAGTGGGCTGGCCGGCTGGGGTTGTCCCCCCCGCCCCCCTCATCTTAACTCAGTCACATAAGAAGAAAATAGCAAGGCAAAATAGTTTTCATAATTTATTATTTTTTAAATCAATTTTAAGTCATCTGTGTAGACTTAATCGCTGTAAAAAAGGAGCACTTAGCACCTCAAAGCAGAAGTAAAATATAGCAGAAGTGTTTGAGCTGCAAAAGGGTACCTTCTGGTCCTTGACAATGTTTTTGGACTCTGAGTTTTTCTTGTGCTTCCCCATTCACATTGCTGCTTATACATTCAACACTCGTGCTGTTAAGGATATCAACATTTATGGTAACAGTGCTGTTGAGAATGTGGGTTGACACCATGTTGATGACAGAGTATTCTGTGTGGTTGTTCAGCAACGGCCATTTTATGGTGGGTAAAGGAAACCCATCGCTGATGCAACTACAGATTAAAACCTTTGAGCAACGTCGACATCCAGAACCATTCACTACCTTTGGAAGCCCTGGAAAGGTACAACAATCAAGAGTTTAGGATAAGCAATCACTGGCTTAATTGAGGTTTACATAAAATGAATGTTTACTTACAGGTCACTTTTATGTCAGCATACACAGTCATCTTGCTGTTCATGTATGTTGCTGTGCAAACGTATCTTGCTGAATCTTCTCTTGTTATGTTGAAGATGACAAGTTTATCAGGTGCACCGATCTTGTGGAGACTAGTGTTGCTTGTTGGTTTTATGCTGCCTGCATGATCAGTCCAAATTATAAGTGATGGATGAAAGCTATTTTCAGTGCAGGCCATATTCAGAGCATCTTTTATAGTCTGGTTTCCAATAGTCTTAGGCCTCATTTTATCTGTAGATGTAATGAAATCATTATATTTTGCAAGGTTCTTTTATAATATACGGTATTTTTAATAACAAAACAGAGATATGTATGAATGATAACATTTAAAAACAAGCCACACATTATGGTACAAAAATGCTGATCTCCAAATCGAACAAGCAAAGATAGAAATAAAGATGCTGAACATTACTTCACCCTCTCCAAGAAGATTTTGTTTTTACCTACTTTGACAACCAATGATTGTTTTTCTTTTTGTTTTGTTTTTCCATAATCCACTTTTGTTGTAAACTGAGGGAATGTTGTAATATAACTAAGTTATTTTGGTACAATCTGGATCTGAACTATCATTTCTATAGAGGTCCAATATAAATTTTTCAGATAATGGTATACAAAGTATTCATTGAGTACATCAAAGCATCAGCTGATTTTCTCTATAGTTTATGATAACACACGTTTTCAGTTTATAACATTGTAGCAGAGGACAGAGAGCATTAAGATTCAAAATTGATAAGGATTGCATTAATATTATGTCTATATTTTTTATAGATCACCTCTATATAATGTGTAAACAGTAACAATGTACCTAAATGTCACTGATACAATGACTGCCCTCTGCTTAGACTTATGTTGTGATATTTTACTGCATATTTTACTATTAAAAGGATTGTATCCCCTACTGTAATGTCAGGGATGGACAAAATGCTAATTCTACTTTCTTCTCTGCTGCTTTGTGATTTACTTGAGCTACAGCTTTGCAGACTATTTTTTTTTCTGTAAGTTTAGTCAAGTTGATATTTTAAGGCAGGAACACTCAGGGGTGTGAACACAACTTCCCCATTGACTGTTGCTCTGCTAGAGATCTTAAATATTTCAACCTCTCTGAAATAAATTCAAACCTATATGTTTTCTTATTACGGTATTATTATTTTTTAACCTGTGTTTATCTAGATTCAAGACCAATTAAGTATAAAACTATTTTGGATCAAATATCCCAAGCAGACGGGGCAGATACACTAAAAGCTTTGTTTTCTACTTCTATTTAAAACTGAGCATTAACATTAATATATTAATAATATTCATCAGTCAAATTATCATTGACTGAAAACTACATTCAAAAATGTATTGGGACCCATTTCATTTTGGTTGTTTGAGATCAATGCACTTCAGATGTATGTTCAGATGTTTAATTGCAACTAATGATACATTTTAGTTGAATGACATTTGGTTTGATTTTTTTTTGTGAGCCGAATAAAACTAGCAAAAACTGTTTCAGATGTATTACTTCTGTTGTGTTTAAAATGAATTATGAAAAAGCACGCTTACATTTAACGTGGATTTCTCCTTCCGTGCCTTGATATGTTGCTGTACAAATGTGAGGCGCTGCATCCTCCATACTTACATTTTTGATAGTAAAAGAGGCATTTCCAAGTTGATATTGCTGATATATTTCCGAGCTGTAATGTACTTCTGAAATATTTTTATTTAAACCGGTTTCTGTTTCAGATTTCATCCATCTGATATCTGATGGAGGGAAGCGGTCAATGCTGCAGCTCAGATTGAGAAAAATTCCTTTCTTTACAGTTGCTTTCCCAAAAACCTGAGGGTCCCTTTTATCTGTAGATGGAAAAAAAAAATTAAGTCAATAAAGTTAAGCTTAGATATAGTTTTATAATCTGTTACTGATGTAACTGTTGCTCAAAGTCAATTTTATCTCAGTGCTACAGCACTTTTCAAACCTATTTTGCTGCTAAAATCTTTTTGCATTTTGTTACATTATAAGCATATGGCTGTGTTTAGTGCTTTGCAGAAGAATGTTTGCATGTTTAACATTTTATAACCACAAAATCAAAATAGCATAAAGAAAGTGATGCTTAATAGTGTAGCAGTAAGGAGATTACTTCTTTAAATTGTCCTTAGGTGTCAGTTTGTGTGTGCATGGTTGTATATCTCTGTGTTGCCCTGCAGTTTACTGGTGACATGTGCGGAGTGCACTTTGCCTTTTATCCCTAGAATGCTGACGATAGGCACCCAATCACTGAGATCCTGACTGGTGAAGCTGGATGGATGGTTCATAAATAAAACTCAGGAAAGAGTGGAGTGCATGAGTATAGAGAACTTTTCAATCCCATCCAGGGAAAACAATTCCCTTAAGAAGATATCTTACTACTTGGAGTTTGTCTGTGTAAAGTGTTTGTGAAAAAAAAAAAAACCTCAGGTAGGAGTCTGTCAACACCACAGCTTTAAGTAGGGCACACTGAGCACCTGGCCTTTTATGGAAAAGAAAAAATACACTCAAAGAAAATATGCTATTATATTTGGTATCGTTTAGGTGATATAAACTAAACTTCACCTAACTAAGATTTAGGGGAAAGATATAAGATTTTTTTTGGTATATTATAGAATTCCCCAATTAAATACATTTAAATTTATGATTTCAAAATGATCAAAGGTGGTTTACCTCACCTGAGATCACTTTAACATTTAAACTATAATGTTTGGAAACTGACAATGCATATTTTTGTTACTAAAAAATATGCATTGTCGGTGCTGCAGATAGGCAGAATGTCTTGATAAAACAGGAACTTAAAGCAATTGGCTGTTTAAAAAGTCAGGAACCAGTGTGATTTTACAGGGCATTTCTTGCCTCTCCGAGTATGGAGTGATTGTGCATGAGCTGAAAATATGTAGGAATCGTCAATGTGAAAGATTTCTTATTAAGGATTTTATTCCTATTAATTTAAATGTTTAATTTGTAAACATTAAAAAGTATTTATTAATTAGAAATTGAAATCTAACAGATTTGAAAAGGCTGAAGGGCAGCTATTAACTTTATACTTTCTCCTTCAGAACAACTCCATTGCAGCAGCTGTTGAGAAATAACATTGAATGTCAGCAGAAATGGTTCATATAACCTTCTAGGGGAGGGTTAGTGGTTTCAGTGTTTCAGGTTCTGTGGGATTAAAGTTCAAGCTTCCATCCATCCATCCATAGAGCGCCTATCTCCGGCACTGTATGGGCAAAAGGCGTGGTACGTCCTGGACAGGTCACTAGTCTGTCGCAGGGATACACAGAGACACACAGAGACACACACCCAATGGGCACAAAGACACACCTAAAGACAACCTAGAGATGCCAATTCAACTAACAGTCATGTTTTTGAACAAAATTAAAAACAAAACCAGAGGAGTCGGAGAGAACCCAGGCTTGCATGGTGAGAACATGCAAACTCTAGGCAGAAAGACCCTGGGTCGAGAATCGACCCCAGAACCTTCTTCCTGCAAGGTAACAGTGCTGCAAACTGCACCACCGTGTAGCAAAATTCCAGTTTGTATAAATGGAAATAGACTAGCTGTCTGTCTGTCCCTTAAATGGCCAAGTTCATCCTTTTTTTTTTACCCGTGTTTATGACTAAAAAAGAGAAGAGCTTTCTTAGGCTCTCTGTCTGCTTTTGTCTATATAAGTGTGATTAAGTATTTTCAATGGTTTAAAAATAAATCATATAAGGTGTACTGTATTTACTAGAAGATTATAAAGAACACAAGTAAGGAATACTGAATATTTTTTCTCACAGTTAACACTCCATCTAAAGAAAAAACATTACTCATAGAAATAATCTAGAAGAATCTACTCACATGTTAATGTTACGTTGATTTCTTCCATCAGGTGTTCCACAGTACAAATGTAAAGCCCTGACCCTTCTGCTGACTCATTAGTGATGGAAAAAGAACCATTTCCAAGTTTCCACTTGGTATATTCAGTGGTCTTGTGAGAATGATTAGAAATGTGCTGTAGGTCAGTTTCTGTTCCAACTTTAGTCCACTTTATAACTGAGGGAGGGAAGCTGTCAACACTGCAGGTCAGATTCAGATCATCTCCTTCCTTTACTGATGTTTCACCAAAGATCTGAGGATTTCTGAGGTCTGTGTGGGAAAAAAATGCAACAAAGGAACAAGATACACAACTGTACTTTGATGCCACACAGAAGTACAAAAAATTCTGACATACCAAAACCTGAGTTTTGAAGGTTTGTTTAAAGTTACTGACTTGAAAAACAATATATATATATATATATATATATATATATATATATATATATATATGTATATATCTTGTATTTCATTTTATAAGTTTTACTCACATTTTACATTAACAATGACTTCTTTTGTCAGGGTGTCATTCTGGTATGTTGCTGTACAACTGTAGCGTCCAGCGTCTTCTGATGTTACATCAATGATGAGCAAAGAAGAATTATGATGACTTTCATTCAGGAATGTTTCAGTGCTGTTATAAGACTTGTTTAAAATGTTGTACTGCAGGTTGCAATCTGTTCCAACTTTATTCCACTTTATAACTGTGGAAGGGAAGCTGTCAACACTGCAGGTCAGATTCAGATGATCTCCTTCCTTTACTGTTGTTTTGCCAAAGATCTGAGGTTTTCTAAAGTCTGTGGAGAAAATATGTGGAATTAAACAAAACAAGGTTCAAAACTGTGCTTCAGACATTTTGTGCTGAATACACATATAAACTACTTTTAAGAAATAACAAAGCCGTAAGCTTAAGAAGTGAATTTCCATTTAAAATATTGACTTTTAAAACCAATTTAAAATATATTTTCATTTTAATACATGTACTAACATGTCACATGAACAAAGGCTTCTTTTGTCAGGTTGTTGTTCTGGTTTGTTGCTGTACAAATGTAACGTCTAGCTTCTTCTGTTGTTACATTAATGATGGAAAAAGAGACATTTCCACTTTCTTCCTGCAGGTAGATCAATGTTTTGTTATCTGATTTCCTTAAAATATGATCCTTCAGATCAGTTTCTGTTCCAGATTTAGTCCACCTGATAACTGATGGAGGGAAGCTGTCCACACTGCAGGTCAGATTCAGATCATCTCCCTCCATCACTGTTGTTCTACCACTTATCTGAGGTTTTCTGATATCTGAGGAGTAAAATGAATGAATTAAGGATGTTTGGGAGGTTTTTGAAGTTAGTCAATTGTATATTTCTTCTTCTGATTAGTCATCTGTGTTCTCAATATTTACCAATGGCTAAAACATTTAATAAGATTAATCGTAATTAATTGATTATTGGAATAATAGTCACCTAATGTATTCATTGCTTAATCATAGCCCATACAAATATCATTTGTTAAAGAAGAAAACAACTTAGCGCAATAATTAACCTAAAACTATAAAAACATGTATAGACATTTTACATTTATTATTGAAAAATCTATCTTGGTCACTTAATGTACTGCTTCCTCCTTAAGTAACATTTCTCTTTGTTCAAGTTCTCTTAAGTTTAAATCCATAATTTATAAAGCATCTTTTGCGATCTGATTATTAACCAGTCATAATGTACAGATTAATAGCCAAATATTTATACCTTGGAGCCCTATATGAACCACTTAATGCCACATCAGTTTGCTCAGGTATTGGTATTTATTTAACAATCTCTGAGGTATAAATTATAATTACTTCACAACCAAACTTAATCCAAATTATCAGCCTTTTCTTTCTTCAAATATTAAATAGATGGAGTTAAAAGTATCTTTAATAATAGTTATAGATCATGAGGTACTTACAGTTTACATTCAGTGTTGCAGTCCTCTTTCTGGTTTCATTTCCTGTGAAACTGACCTGACAGGTTATAATGGTGTTGTGGTTTTCAACTGAAGGTTTAAAGGTCAGAGTTGAGCTGTGACTCTTTGTGACAGCAGTCAGATTCTCAGTTTTTGAAGCAGTGATGTTTCCCTGGATGTAAGAGTCCTCCTCTCCTTTTCTTCTCCACATCCAGGTGATTTTAGGAGGAGACCCAGAGCAGAAACCAGGAGCAGTGCAGCTCAGAGTGACCTGCTGTCCCTCAATCAGAGGAGAAATCTTTACTTCTGGCTTTTGGTGAAGATCTGATGGAAACACAGTTCATTGGTTACATCCCCCAAAATGTTTATTATTAAAAATTTGACAAGAAAGATTCAATAACGCTAGATGTTTTATTTGTTTGTAAATAGAAAATTAAAAGGCCGTTTTGAATCTTGTGAACTTTCTACAATTTTTTTAGAGGTCAATAAAAACAGTAACAATGTTTTTCATCAGGTCTAAAAATAGGATTATATATATATAACCTGTAATGTTTCCTACCTTTTACAGAGAGATTGGTGTATAAAACAGTATAATAATATTTATCCCCACTTCTGTCTCCTTCAACTTTGAGCAGATAATATCCAGAATCAGACTTGCTAAGATCATTGATTATGATGCTGCAGTTCCTATTAGTCACATCAGGCTCCAGCAGTGATACTCGACCTTTGAACCCAGGCTGAACGTCTGTATTGCTCTTGTCAGAGTGAAAGACAGGGTCAGAATGTGTACATCGGTATTGGGGTTTTTCGCATTTAAACCAAATAATAGCTTTTGGCTCAAATTCAGATTTGAAAGAACATGGTATCACAGCACAGAGTCCAGCCTCTGCTGTTATGGTTGTAGAGAGAGTAACACAGTAACCAGGTTGTTGACACTCTTTTTTCTGTCCTAATGCACCTGTTGATAAACAAGAAAATACAAAGTTAATAATTATTGGTTTTGGTTTTCATTGGTGACTACAATTACATTATCTGCTTTCAGAAAGCTCTTTGTCAGTCAATGTCAACACAAAAAGTGAAGTATTAAAGATTTGTGATTGAACTATAGTCTGGTTGTTCTCCTTTTTTGTACGTCTGCTCATCACACACCAGCAGTATTTATTAGCAAACATGGATAATGAGCAGATTTATTGCATTTTATATAAATACTGTTTGGATCACTATATGTTTGCAGAGGAGATTCATGCATTACCGTTGTTAGTAGAGAGAGACACAATTATCCAGATGAAAACCAACATCCTGATTTGATGCTGGAAACATTCAGTCCCAACAGGATGAAACTCTGGTGAAGAATTTATTGAGAATTACTGAACCTGGATCAAAGCAAAGTTTAGACAATAAATCACACCTACGATACAGCATTTCTATCCCTAATGTGGCTTCCTGAACATAGAACCACAGTTCATGAAAATTATAGACAAGTTTTTTTTTTCTAACTATCTGTGACTTTATATCTTTTTAGTTTGGAAAAATAAATGTGATTGTAAATAGTTGACATCTGCAATAGATATAAGAATTAAATGGTGCACATTTCTATAATATTCTAGGATTGAAATCTTGATTTTCAAAGACTTAACAATAAAACCCTAAAGTTCCATTTATCTTCTAACCCTCCAGGGTATGTTTTACAGTTGATCAGTCTTATTAGAGCTAAAACTATTATTAAATATCTTGATTACCGTTTGTCTGTTGCCCTTCTGTTCCTCTAATCGTCTGTGTCTTTTCCTCATAGACGACCAAACTGACTTCTTCTCCTTTCTATTTTATTTCTTCTTTTCTGCTCGTTAAGAAATTGGGAAGTTTGTCAGCACTTATAAAAAAAAGTGCTTGACCAATGAGAGAAGCTAAATTTATGATGTATAGATCTAACAGATATG